TTCCTCCCCATTTTGCTTTTCCCTCATTTTTTAAACTTTACTTTTCAATTAGTTTATGTTAAATATTTAGTACTAGAGGCCCGGTGCATGAAATTCGTGCACGGGTGGGGTCCCTCCACCTGTCTGGTGATCAGGGCTGTTCATGGACCCAGTCTCGATCCCAATCCTGGGAGCTTCCTAATGGCTCTCACCTCACACCTCACTTTCCAGTACAGCCCACCAGTGCCTGAAGCAACCTAACCTATTGGTTGGAGCGTCTGCCCCCTGGTGTTCAGTTTATGTCATAGCAACTGGTCGAGCAATGGAACTCCCAGCAGAACGTCAGTCGAGGCACAATTTGCATATTAAGCTTTTATTATATAGGATTAGTTTTAGGTGTAGATCATAGTGGTAAGACTATTATATCCTTATAAGGTGTTTCTATTTAGTAATATTAGTTTCAGGTGTACAGCTTAGTGATGAGACAATTATATCCTTACAAAGTGTTCCCTCCAGTATTTTCAGTACCCACCTGGCTCCATACATAGTTACTACAGTATTACTAACTATATTCCCTGTGTTGTACTTTACATCCCTGTGACTATTTTGTAATTATCAATTTTACTTCTTTTAAAAAATTTTTTTTTTTATTGATTTCAGAGAAATAGGGAGAGGGAAAGAGAAATATAGAAACATCAATGATGAGAGAGAATCCTTGATTGGCTGCCCCCTGCATACCCCACACTGGGGAGCGAGCTGACGACACTGGCATGTGCCCTAACTGGAATTGAACCATGACCTCCTGGTTCATAGGTCGTTGCTCAATCACTGAGCCACCAGAGCTGGGCTCAATTTTACTTCTTAATCTCTTTACTTTTTTCACCCACTCAACCAATCTTCCTCCCCTCTGGCAACTGTTAGAGTCTGTTCCTGTGAGTTTGTTTCAATTTTATTCTTTAGATTCCATGTATAAAAGTTTTTATTTTTCTCTGACTGGCTTATTTCACTTAACATAATACTTTCTGGACCCACCCATACTGTCACAAATGGTAAGATTTTGTTCTTTTTTATGGCCGTGTAATATTGCATTGTATATCTGTGCTACCACCTTCTTACCCATCCTCTATTCATGGGCACTTGACTTGTTTCCATATCTTGGTCCTCCCTTGTTTCTCCTTCTGCATGTCTTAGCAGTCATTCTCCATTTAGCCTCCAGCTCAGCTCCCAGCCTCCTCTCCATTTTTTTCATAGTCCCCATCCATTCACTATCATCTCAGTCTTTCCTTTATGACTCATTTTGAACACTAAAGCCTTGTTTTATTGCGTGGCCCTTAAATTCCTGTGTGTAATATGTAAATCACAGTTATGGATTTTATTTCTGGAATGATGGCACAAAACATACCTTGAGAAGACTGTGATAATTCTCATGTGAGGGAAAGTACAGGGATGGAATGAGTGTCAAATGTTTTATCTTTCCAGCCAGTGTGGCTCAGTGGTTGAGCACTGACCCATGAACCAAGAGGTCCCAGGTTCAATTCCTGGTCAGTGCACATACCCAGGTTGCAGCCTCAGTCCCCATTAGGAGGACGTGCAGGAGGCAGTTGATTGATGTCTCTCTCATTGATGTTTCTCTCTCGCTCTCCCTCTCCCTTCCTCTCTCTTTAAAAAAAAATCAATGAAAACGTATTTTTAAAAAATTTTTTTTATTGCTTAAAGTATTACAAAGAGTATTACATAGGTCTCCTTTTTTTCCCCTCCCCTTGACATTCCCCCGGGCTCCCCTACCCCCCAGTGTCTTATGTCCATTGGTTATGCTTATATGCATGCATACAAGTTCTTCGGTTGATCTCTTACCCCTCTTTCTGCCCCCCAATCCTCCCCAGCCTTCCTGCTGTAGTTTGATAGTCTGTTTGATGCTGCTCTGTTTCTGTATCTATTTTTGCTCATGAGTTTATAATGGTCTCTATTATCCATAAATGAGTAAGATCATGTGGTATTTTTCTTTCATTAACTGGCTTATTTCACTTAGCATAATGTTCTCCAGTTCCATCCATGCTGTTGCAAATGGTAAGAATTCCTTCTTTTTTACAGCAGCATAGTATTCCATCATGTAGATGTACCACAGTTTTCTAATCCATTCATCTGCTCATGGGCCTTAGGCTGTTTCCAGATCTTAGCTATGGTGAATTGTGCTGCTATGAACATAGGGGTGCATATATCCTTTCTGATTGGTATTTCTGTTTTCTTGGCATATATTCCTAGAAGTGGGATCACTGGGTCAAATGGGAGTTCCATTTTTAACATTTTGAGGAAATTCCATACTGTCTTCCATAGTGGCTGCACCAGTCTGCATTACCACCAGCAGTGCATGAGTGTTCCTTTTTCTCCACATCCTCTCCAGCACTTGTCGTTTGTTGATTTGTTGATGATAGCCATTCTGACAGGTGTGAGATGGTACCTCATTGTTGTTTTAATTTCATTTCTCGGATGATTAGTGACTTTAAGCATGTTTTCATGTCTCTTGGCTTTCTGAATGTCCTCTTTCAAAAAGTGTCTATTTAGGTCCTTTGCCTATTTTTTGATTGGATTGTTTATCTTCCTTTTGTTAAGTTGTATGAGTTCCCTATAAATGTTGGAGATTAAACCCTTATCGGTGATAACATTGGCAAATATGTTCTCCCATGTAGTGGGCTTTCTTGTTGTTTTGTTGATGGTTTCTATTGCTGTGCAGAAGCCTTTTATTTTGATGTAGTCCCATTTGTTTATTTTCTCTTTAGTTTCCAATTCCCTAGGAGCTGTATCAGTTAAGCAAAGAGAGAGGACCCAAATAAACAAAATCAGAAATGATAGAGGCGAAATAACAACAGACCCCACAGAAACACAAATGATTGTTAAAAAATAATATGAAAAACTCTACTCCAACAACCTAGAAGAAATGGACATATTCTAGAAAAATACAACATTCCAAAACTCAATCAGGAAGAATCTAAAAATCTCAATAGGCCAATCACTATGGAAGAAATTGAAGCAGTCATCAAAAAGCTTCCAGCAAACAAAAGCCCAGGGCCAGACGGCTTCACAGGGGAGTTTTACCAAACATTCAAGGAAGAACTAAAACCTATCCTCCTCAGACTACTACAAAAAATCCAAGAGGAAGGAGCACTTCCAAGCTCATTCTATGAAGCCAGCATCACCCTAATAACAAAACCAGGTAAAGACAACACAATGAAAGAGAATTACTGGGCAATATTCCTCATGAACATAGATGCCAAAATCCTCAACAAAATCTTAGCAAATCGGATCCAGCAGTACATCAGAAAGGTCATACATTATGACCAAGTAGGATTTATCCCAGGGATGCAAGGATGGTACAATATCCGCAAATCAATAAATGTGATACATCACATAAACAAATTGAAAGAAAAAAACTCACATAGTCATATCAATTGATGCAGAAAAAGCATTTGACAAAATCCAACACCCATTTTTGATAAAAACTCTCAGCAATGTGGGACTAGAAGGATCATACCTCAACATAATAAAAGCCACATATGACAGGCCTACAGCCAACATCATACTCAATGGACAAAAACTAACACCATTTCCCCTAAGAACAGGAACAAGACAGGGATGCCCCCTCTCACCACTCCTGTTCAACATAGTACTGGAAGTTTTAGCCATTGCAATTAGACATGAAGATGAAATAAAAGGCATCCAAATTGGAAAAGAAGAAGTAAAACTGTCCTTATTCGCAGATGACATGATATTGTACATAAAAAACCCTAAAGACTCCATCAAAAAACTATTAAACTTAATAAATGAATTTGGCAATGTAGCAGGATACAAAATTAATGCCAAGAAATCTATGGCATTTCTACACACCAATGGTGAACTTACAGAAAGAGAGACTAAAAAAGCAATGCCATTTACCATCGCATCAAAAAAATTAAGTTACCTAAGAATAAACTTAACTAAAGAGGTAAAAGACCTTTACTCAGAAAACTACAGGACGTTGTAAAAAGAGAGGAAGACATAAACAGATGGAAGAACATACCATGTTCTTGGATTGGTAGAATCAACATCATTAAAATGTCCATACTACCCAAAGCAATCTATAAATTCAATGCACTTCCCATTAAAATGCCAACGGCATATTTCACAGACCTAGAACGAACTCTCCAAAAATTCATCTGGAATAAAAAAAAATAACCCTGAATAGCTGCCGCGATCCTGAGAAAGAAGAACAAAGTAGGTGGGATCTCAATACCAGATATCAAGCTGTATTACAAAGCCACTGTTCTCAAAACTGCGTGGTACTGGCACAAGAACAGACATATAGATCAATGGAATAGAATAGAGAGCCCAGAAATCGGCCCAAACCACTATGCTCAATTAATTTTTGACAAAGGAGGCAAGATCATAAAATGGAGTCAAGATAGTCTCTTCAATAAATGGTGTTGGGAAAATTGGACAGATACCTGCAAAAAATTGAAACTAGACCACCAACTTACACCATACACAAAAATAAACTCAAAATGGATAAAGGACTTAAATATAAGACGGAAAACCATAAAAATACTAGAGGAATCCAAAGGCAACAAAATCTCAGACATTTGCCGAAGCAATTTAAAATACGACTTTTATCTTAGAACCAAGTCAGAAAGCAAGTCCTGCAAAATTACCTTTAGCTTGTATTAATAACTAACCATTAAACATACAAATAACATATAAGCAACCAAAATTGTACATAGAGAGCTGAACGGACATTATCGCCATGCTGCGTTTAAATGTGTCAGGAATCCCAGGGCTGCTGGATCTCATTCCAAAGGAAGAAGAATGGCAGGAGGCTCACAGTGTGACCTAATAAGAACAGAGATGAAAGTTACTCTGCATGAGGTGGAGGTAAGAATAGAAGAGTAAAAGGAAAGAGACTGAGGAAAGAAGAACTAAGAGGAGAGAGAAGAAAGGTGGGAAGACAAGTAGGGTGTGGATGAAAGATCAGGAAAGATGGGCACAAAAACTCACCAGCGCTTCCTAAGCCAAAATGTAAGAGCTGTCAGAAGCACCAGGGGCACCATCACTGCCAAGATGATCAAGCCCATGGAGTTATGATGATGTTCTGTGGATTTGGGTGAACACAAGGTGTCATTTCAAACCCACCCCTGTTTACTGCCTTTCCCTGGTCTGTCTTTTTTATTTGAGTGTTTGCCTCACTAATCTTTGTTTTTGTTTCCTCTCTCCTTCCTCTTCAGAGTTGAATCTTTCATCTAACCCTTAACATCTTCCTACTTCTCAGATCTCTCATTTTCAGTTCTTCTATTTATTGAATTAATTATTTTCATTCTTTTGGGTGTGGAGTCCATAAATCCCAAATGTTTTACTTGGCTCTCCTGATCTCCTTGTGGACCATCTACCCATACCCCAGTGTGGGCCCCAGTTTTTCTTACCCAAGTAGAGGAGGATGTCCTGGCCTCCTAGGCTGCTATGTCTCACCCGGCAATACAGGCCAGATGTCTCAGTGGCTTCCACCTCCAAGAAAACCTGAAGGTACCATGTCCCATCAGCATTGGGCAAGATACCACTTTGTTGAGTGCCCTGTTGTACCTGTTCACCTCGCATCCACTTTACCCAAATTGGCTTTGGATGGAAGCCAGAGACATGGCAAACCAGCATCTGATGGCCAGGACCAGGATTGGGGCCAGTGGACAGCCAGGCCTCTGGTTTTACTGCAGAGAACAGGAGAGATATTCAGATAAGGACTCTAACACAGACTTGGAGGTTCATCTCTGCACATCATCCTACAACAGCGGTTCTCAACCTGTGGGTTGAGAACCCTTTGGGGGTCAAAGGACCCTTTCACAGGGGTCACCTAAATACATCCTGCATATCAGATATTTACATTATGATTCATAACAGTAGCGAAATTACAGTTATGAAGTAGCAACAAAAATAATTTTATGGTTGGGGGTCACCACAACATGAGGAACTGTATTAAAGGGTTGCGGCATTAGGAAGCTTGAGAACTACTGTCCTAGATGGACACATCTATCCCAAGCTGGGAATTCATCACACATTATCCTTCTCCCTCTTGACCCCTTATCCTCAATTTAAAGGGAAGGTGGGAAGGTGTAACTTTAGAAAATTCTTGGAGGAAGGATATGGGACTGACCTTGTCTCTGGAGATCTGCCTTCCCTGCATCAAGAATACTCAAGAGGAAACGTGGGCAGGTGTCACTGAGAATCCTGTGTACTACATTATTGATGAACAGGTGTTGATTGAATACTCTGCACATATCCTGAGCTGTTGTTCCACCCTTTGGAGATGGCAACCATGAATTGTTCTGGAAGTGCATGACCTCTGATCCTTGATAAGCGAAGCGATAGAAGGCTACTATGGGTCCCCCAGGGTGCAGCTCACAGCCCTTTGTTATCTGAATTTCAAAGGGATCTAGGAAAGAGGGATAGTAAATTAGAGGAAAAGGAGTAAAGATGAAATTAATGGAAGCAAAAAAAGAAAATAGAAGAAGTATGGGGGCATTGAGATAATGGAACAACTTTGGTTTGATCAGAATTTCAGAAAAAGTGTAATTGGTGGTAGTTAAAGGTAGAGGAAAAAATGACTTTTTTTGGGAACTGAAGTGAGCAAATTGTTCAAAGAAGGTGACATATATGGTGAGAGCAAGAGAATAAGGAAGTACTTAGTGTGAAAGAGTTGTGATTATAATAACCCAGGGTGAATGAAATGCAATAGGATACAATAAATGTACAGACAGAGAATGCTGAAGGGATTGAATGTGGGGAAAATTGGAATAAAGAACTCATTGAGACACACACCCCTCACCCAGCACATTGGGTCTCCCATTTTGGGAATTGAACTTACATTTAAACTTCCATTCACTGGCATGTCTGTGAAGTTTGTGCGGCATTTCAATGGAGAACGCACGGAGGAATTCTTCCAGTTCTTTTATCTCTTTTTTGCTCAAGTTGCCCTTGGACCAAGGACGCAGGAAAATAATTCTGCCAGAGTTGGTGTCCCAGCCATGAGTCTGCAAGTCACCCAGCCAAGCAGAGTTCTGAATTTTCACCCAGGAACGGTTGTAGAAGGATAAGCTGTGGGTAATTTTGAAGCCAATCTCCTCCTGGAAGGCTGTGGCTAAAGAACAAACAGAATGAGGAGAAGAAAAGGCATCTGGAAGGAGAGAGAATGAAGAAAGGTGCCAGGAAGGAAACACAGAATGTGGAGATTAGGGAAGCCATGGCTACCTCAGCAGACATTCAGCTGCCCAGGCCCCAGGCTTTACAAACAAATGTCAGAAGGGCACAGGGTCCTAGAGTACGGGATACTGAGAACCACGCTGACATTCCCCTCTCCAGGTATGTTCTGAGGACACCACACCACACAGAAACAAACACACACACACACACACACACACACACACACACACACACACACACCAACTCACCCACCCTCTTTTGCACCCAACAGGGCAGTTGCCAGAGTTCTTACCATCTTCAGTGTCACCAGCTGCGAGGAGAACTGCTAGCAATGGAATTTGCAGAAACAGCATTTCAGTTACAGATGTTATTTCTTACTCAGGAAACTTTGTCTTTGGCTTTTTTTTTTTAAATAAAACTACTCCACAATACCTCTATTCTGACTTCCTTCTTCTACCAACAAACCACCACCACCAAAAAAAAAGGTGCTTTTTCCCTAAACTCTAGGCACTGATTCAGCCTCTCCTTTCCCCTCCACTTCTGACTTTCAACTTCTCCCCTTGCTACCAGCCTTCATTCTGTTCATCTTCCTATAATTCAGCCTCTATGGACTATGTCTTATGCGCTATTGAAAAGTCAGTTTACTTCTGGGAACATTTTCTTCTCATTCAGACAATGAAAGCATAAAACCAAATGGCTTTCCAATTCCTACCTAATGTTTTCTTGTCCCTGCTCTTCCCTGTTACTCTGTCCTTCTCTTGCCAAATTTAAATATTCTTCAAATACTCTCTTCTTCTGTCTAAGCCCCACCCAACCTCATTAATATCTCTGACATTTCATTGGTTTTTTAAAATTTGATTTTCAGAATCTCCTATGATTGCCCTGTGTAACAGTATAAACTACTACTCCATTATCCTTAGGGAAGAACCAGTAGCCATCACAGAGTCCACAGGAACCTGGAAACATAAAGAAAAATCTCCTCTGACTTGCATTGATATATACCCAAAAGAATACTTACCCAAAAGTCACTGAGAATCTGCCTTGATACAAGCATCTTGCAACACTCATGAGTATCTAGTGGTCTACAAGGCAATCACTTTATTCAAGGGGCTTTTATTCTACTTAAGAAGAAAACACATCAATTTAGGATTATAAACTTTAGTGTGTGGGGTTTTATTATAATACTAAAGGCCCAGCGCGTGTAATTGCGCAGTAACCCGCTGCTTCTTGCTGCACTCGCCACCCTCCCAACCCGCCCACCTCGGCTCTTGTGGGCCACGGGGGAGGGACCTCGAGGTGGTCAATGCACCTCATAGCGACTGGTGGATTGGTCGTTCTGGTCGTGACACTTGTTCTTTTATTAGTATCGATATAGACTCTACAAAAACAAGCCTTCTTGAAACAAAGTCCCAACCCTTAACTGATGTTGTCCACTCACAATCTTGGCTTCAGTGATTTGCTCAGGGAGTTAGTTCTGTATACCTCTGTTGTACTGGGTCTCCAATTCAATGGAATGCCTGGCAAGGGGCTCAATGAATAAGTTTGACTGATTGAATAATTTGGTTCAGGCATCCAATTATTTTTTTAATTAGATTTTTAGCATAATTGTTTAAGGCATCAGAAATTATTACTTGTATTTCTAGTTGGTGAAATGAGAATCTTATATAGTTTTATTTAGGATTAAAATATATGCTAATAAGCATCAAGTTTACACAGGTGTTATGCTATAAATCTCCTATCATAATTTTTAAAAAGCAATGATAATTTGTGGGAAATTAAATTAATAGAATATTCTGGAGTTCTTTATCCTAGATTTCCTTCTTATTGGCCCTGCTTGGATGTTCCATGCTTGTTTTATCATAAGCTGATCTTTGCTGGCCATGCTGACCCTCATTCTTATAATGTTTAAAAGGCTCTTAAAATGTTGTTTTCCTTTGTAACTTCTAGATAAATGTGCTCTGGCTATTATTTTATTATTTATTTAGGTACAAATGAATAGAAATTATCCAAGGCTAATTCTTAAAATATATCAGAAAAATTAAGATTATCTTAATCGAAAATTAAAAAGCCAAAATGTGAGGCAATAAGGGTTTATTTGGGATGAAAATATTGCAATTTGGGAAGCACAGATTCAAGCAGAAATACACATAGTGTCCCGATTACAGGGTGAGAACAAGGAAATTTTAGGAGAAAAGAATGGTATAGTTGCATGATACAAACAAACAAAAAAAAGATTCCTATAGGTGCTAATAAGCTGATAAGATAAATTACTCTATGGCTATTGTAGGGGTTCAGAACAGGCCTCCCCAAAATGTGCCACTTTAGCATTTGTATTATTTTGAGCCTTAGCATTGGAATTATGTTGAGCCAAAGACAATTAAGACCCTGCAGGCTTATAAGAAACTTTACTTCTCCCTTAAAGAATTTAAATTAGGGGACTTGCCCATAATAAGCTTTCAGCAGAAATATTTTTTAACCAATCTACATGGCAGGGCAGACTACTAGTTATTGAACATCTCTTATTACCAACCTTTTGAAGCCCCAAGCTTTCCTACCTCATCTTTACCTCAGAATTGCCTCTCCTACCTCAATTTTAAAAAGTGCCATGTGGTAAAACTGACAAGTTCAGTGATGGAAAGTGGCCTCACAGGGTGACCTGTCATAACTTGCTAACAAGGCAGGTCACAATGGGTAGTCATGCTCCAGGTCTATAAAAGGTGTATCTTTGCCTTAAGCAAGCTCTCTCCATTGTTCTTGTACATTTAGGTGAACACACCTTTGAAATGTCAAAAGTAATATTTTCCAGACCCCTCTCAGGTGTAACTACCTCAGGGGAGCACATAATCTTGTTAACTGTCCTGCCCCCTTTTGGTGCCCGGGACTACCCTCCATGAACTGAGCCACACTGGCCAGGGCAGGACGCCCATGTTTTCTTCTGTGTCTTCAGACCTCCCTGGAAATCCCTCCTCTTGATCCATTGGTGCTTAGGCTACAAGCATGCTCATGTTCTAACAGTTATTTCCTCAAACACCATCAGAGCTCTGGAATTTCTCTGTCCTCTGAAGCTCTCCTCAAAACCCAGATGGGAGCTCCCCTCCCACACAGTCTCACACACTCATCTGAACTCCCCCTCCCCAGCAGCAGTAACCTCAACTTCCCTGCTAGAGAAACCCACTGCCTCTTACACTCATGTGCCTTTTACTGAGCTACTTCTTTTTCCTCTAACCTCGTTCTGGCGTTCAGCATCTCTGTGTATCTGATGTGAGTGCTTTTTGCCCTTCCAAGCAAGTCTCTTGCACTGAAAGGATCTTAGGACGGAGAATCAAGATAAATTCCTGGATGAGACACATGCTGGATGCAGTGAATTGGAAAAAACGCATCAGCATTCTGGCTTCAGTTTTCTTATCTGTAACATAACTGGGTTGAAAGAAATAAATGTTTTCTAATCTTGTCACCTTTCCCTCTAGCATTCTGTGTGTCTTACTGGGCTCCCATTTCTCCCCATTCATGTGCTCTTCCTCCCCATTTTGCTTTTCCTTCATTTTTTAAACTTTACTTTTCAATTAGTTTATATTAAATATTATTTAGTACTAGAGGCCTGGGGCACGAAATTCGTGCACGGGTGGGGTCCCTCCACCTGTCTGGCGTCAAGGCCGATCACGGCCATCTTACCCAGTCCGGATCCCAACCCTGGGAGCTTCCTGATGGCTCTCACCTCACACCTCACTTTCCATTCCAGCCAACCAGCGCCTGAAGCAAGCTAACATATCCGTTGGAGCGTCTGCCCCCTGGTGGTCAGTCCAAGTCATAGCAAATGGTTGAGCAATGGAACTCCCAGCAGAACTTCAGTTGAGGTACAATTTGGATATTAGGCTTTTATTATATGGGATTAGTTTTAGGTGTAGAACATAGTGGTAAGAGAATTATATCCTTATAAGGTGTTTCTATTTAGTAATATTAGTTTCAGGTGTACAGCATAGTGATGAGACAATTATATCCTTACAAAGTGTTCCCTCCAGTATTTTCAGTACCCACCTGGCTCCATACATAGTTACTACAGTATTATTAACTATATTCCCTGTGTTGTATTTTATATCCCTGTGACTATTTTGTAACTATCAATTTTACTTCTTTTTAAAAATTTTTTTTTATTGATTTCAGAGAGATAGGGAGAGTGAAAGAGAAATATAGAAACATCAATGATGAGAATCATTGATCGGCTGCCTCCTGCACACCCCACACTGGGGAGCGAGCCAACAACCCTGGCATGTGCCGTAACTGGAATCGAACCATGACCTCCTGGTTCATAGATCGTTGCTCAATCACTGAGCCACCAGAGCCAGGCTCAATTTTACTTCTTAATCTCTTTACTTTTTTCACCCACTCATCCAATCTTCCTCCCCTCGGCAACTGTCAGAGTCTGTTCTTGTGAGGTTGTTTAAATGTTGTTCTTTAGATTCCATGTATAAGAGAAATCATGTGGTATTTATTTTTCTCTGATTGGCTTATTTCATTTAACATTATACCATCTAGACCCACCCATGCTGTCACAAATTATAAGATTTCGTTCTTTTTTATGGCCGTGTAATATTGCATTGTATATCTGTGCTACCACTTTCTTACCCATCCTCTCTATTCATGGGCACTTGACTTTTTCCCATATCTTGGTCCTTCCTTGTTTCTCCTTCTGCATGTCTTAGCAGTCATTCTCCATTTAGCCCCAGCTCAGCTCCCAGCCTCCTCTCCATTTTCTCATAGTCCCTGTCCATTCACTATCATCTCAGTCTTTTCTTCCTCACTCACTTTCAACACTAAAGCATTGTTTTATTGCGTGACCCTTAAATTCCTGTGTGTAATATATAAATCACAGTTATGGAATTTATTTCTGGGATGATGACACAAAACATACCTTGAGAAGACTGTGATAATTCTCCTGCGAAGGAAATTACAGGGATGGAATGAGTCTCAAATGTTTTATCTTTCCAGCCAGTGTGGCTCAGTGGTTGAGCACTGACCCATGAACCAAGAGGTCCCAGGTTCAATTCCTGGTCAGGGCACATACCCAGGTTGCCGCCTCAGTCCCCATTAGGAGGACGTGCAGGAGGCAGTTGATTGAGTCTCTCTTATTGATGTTTCTATCTTGGTCTCCCTCTGCCTTCTGTTCTCTCTATAAAAAAAATTCAATGAAAACATATTTTTTAAAGATCTGTTTTATCTACTATATATTTGCACTACTTATGTAGCTTTGCTCAATCTGAGCACCAGAATATTGGCTGCAATGATTATGTCAGACCTCGGCAGTGAGACCTGTATATTCATGAAAATATTTCAACTGGTTTTTAATTTATAAAGATACCTAAAGTATTAAAACTAAACCCATATTACAAGCAAC